CAGCCTGCTGTACACATAGGCTAGGTGATATAGCCTGTTGCTACTAGGCTACAAACCTAGACAGCATGTTGCAAAGCCAGAGTACATGTTACCATACTGAGTACTGTAAGCAGTTGTAACACAGTGGTAAGTATTTTGTGTATCTAAACACAGAAAAAGCACAATAAAAATACAGTACAAAAGATAAAACATGGAATACTTGCAGAGGACACTTACCATGAGTGGAGCTTGTGGATCTGAAAGTTGCTGTGGGTGAGTCAGTGGTTGAGTGATGAGTGAATATGAAGGACTGGATCATTACTGCACCCTTTTATACATCTGGCAGCATGGAAGGTTTGTTTACACTATCATTGCCACAGACATGTAATGCTTTGTGCTGTGAGGTTACCACAGCTGAACCATTACTAGGCAGTAGGAGTTTTTCAGCTTCATTGTAATCTTACAAGACCACTGTCATATATGTTGACTGTAACGTCGTCACATGGTGTGTAACTGTGTATCAATAGGGAGATGTTTTCTTTGTGCATAGAAGTAAATTAAACATTTTTTTCCTTGCATTGTGTGTGTTTGTGTGTAAGTAAACAGTGCATTTGGTACTGATATTTGACTATCAGAACATGAAGTTTCCTCATTTTGTGCAGTAACTGCATGCTATTTTATTCTAGAGTGTGCTCTAGCCTACTTACCTAGCTCCTGCTGATAGGCATTTAGGTGGTTCCCAGTGTTTTGATACTAAAGACAATGCTGTAGTGGATAATTTTGTGTGTAATATTCCGCATCTATCTAAGTATATACGGAGGTTAAATTTCTAGAAATGAAGTTGCTAGAACAAAGGAAAAATAATAATCCGTGTGTTTGATTATATGAGAGAAATGAAGCTACTTTAAAAATTTTACATTACTAAAATGTTTATATTGGAAACTTTACTCATTTAAATCCAAAGATTTTAAAGCTATTTTTAGATTAATGGACTTTAGTATATCTTGTACATTAAAAAGGAAAAGAGGCCATTGCTTAGGAAGTTCTGTACTAGACCAAAGCGAAACAAATGAACAAACAAAAAACAATATAGATATTATTACTGAAACAAGAATTCTGCAGTGAGAGAAGTTTGGTGTGTATGGTTTGAAAACATAGCATTTTAATCCCCTACATTATCTAAAACCTTAATCACACATTTGCTTATTATTTCTGAGCTAGGAGATGGTATTGGTACATTAAGCTGTTTGGTACCAAATGTAATCTGGGGATTAGTGAAAGTCAAATCCCCTATGCATTTGTCCTTGAAAATCTGATTGGGTTTTCTCTATTGGTGACCTCTCTTTGCTACAGTTAACTAGAGGGTCACATCCATCTTGGTGGCTCTCAAGCATCTTTCCTCCCTCAGGGAGGATGAGAGGGGAGGTAGCAGAGGTTTTTGAATATGCAACTCGCAGTTAGGGACAAGCATAAATCCTTGAGACAGCTGTCTCAAGATTTCATGGATAATTTTGTACAATTCTCCATTTTTGTGCATTATGTACAATTCTCCATTTTGTGTATTTCTGGATTTCAAAGAAAACATTAAGCTACTTATAATCCTCAAGTAGAAAATAAAAATTGTTGATTGAACAGCATCTACTGAAAACAGTAAAAGTTTCAACCAGTTTTGAGTTACATATTGGAAGGCACCAGGGCCTGAGGAAAGTACAGCAGTCATGATTTAAACTAGGTCTGTTTGACTCCAGCGATGGGCTCAGGGCTCTTTGTGTTGTTGTGTGGTGCTTTAGGCCCATTAAATGCAAACCTACATGCTTCTGATATGGCATCAGGCTTAAAAAATTAAAAAAAAAAACCTTAAACAGTAAAATATTCCAACACTATTCAAAATTTGAGATAGAAACAGTGTGTTCTAGCAACTTAAGATTTGTAGGACGCCGTGTATATGTAGAGAGGAAATTAGATATTTTATATAGATTTTCTTTCATTTTCCTTTTTAAAATCATCAATGATCTTAAACTGTAATATGTGATAAAATACATAATTCCTAATTTTTAAAAACTTATCTATATGATTTTCTTACATCAAAATGTTAAATAACACTGATACAAGGAAGAACGTGGAATTCTGAATTTGTGGATTTAAATATTGCGCATCTGGTATGAGTTTTCAACAATTACTAAACTGCTTTGTTATTCGAAAAGAAAGGAGACAGTTGAATCTATTTTGACACACATACACATACCTTACAAAAAAAATATTTTAGGACGTTTCAGTGTACCTGATTTTGTTGACTCTTCTAACTATGCCAAAGGTATTTCTAATTATTGCATAAATAGATAATGAAAGATGGGATTTATTTTCTTCTAATTAAAGCTGAAGTCATGAATTGTTATACTCGGAGCAGCTGATGTGAGACTTACTGCTCTTTACTGAAGAAAACAAAACCAATGTAGCTCATTTATACCATTGGTGCTACAATTTTCAAACTCTGTGTGTGTGTGTCTATTCTATTCTTGGAAAATTTCTGAAAGAGTATATAAAAATAGTTGATTATAATTATTTCTGGAGTTGAAGTGATAGGAGAAACCTTAAAAAAATTTTGTATCTTGTCATATTGTTTTAAATTTTTACCATGTGCATGTATTATTTTTATAGAAAAAATCAATAAAAATTAAAGGTACCCTTGTATTTCTGTGTTTATTTTCCATTACAGATTCCACTTAGACTTAATTTTTCAGGATCAAAACATAGTGTAGTACAAGAAAGCAAACAAAATGACTAATTCATTTATTTGGTGACTTAGTCTTTTTCTCTTCTTGGAAGCTTTGATTAGAAGCTGCAGATATAATTTGCTGTTTTCTCTTAGCCATCCTTTTCTTATCTTCAGTTTCTACCCTGCTTCCTTCCGTCTCCCCCACCACATCACTGTTAATCCCTATTGTATAGTGTCTTCATATACTAACCAATTCTCTGATGCCAGCTGTGTATCCAATAATTCAATTCTGAAGCTAACTGCAGGGGTTAGCATCAGGCCTCCTCCCCTCCCCACAGATCAAGGGCTTAATCCCATAAGACTGCCCCCACTTCAGATGCCAGCCACAGTATAATGCCCAGGCTACCCAGGTTTCTGCCTGACTACAAATTTGGAGGTTCCAGGAGCCTCCCTCAGGTTTGATAATTTGCTATAATGACTCACAGAACTCAGGAAAGCACCTTGCTTACTATTAGTGACCAAAGTTTCATCAAGGAGTGAGAGGCTTTGTCAGCATTTGTAAGTCACACAAGATCCTAAGGTTTTAGAACCAAATCGTTGGATATTCTAGTTCCCTTTTCTCATTTTAAACATGAAGAACCCGCATCCTAACTGATATACCTTTTTCTAATGGCAAAGACAGTTATTAGCAGATCTGAATGAGAATCTTAGAATTTTTATGTCCCATTTAGTGTCCTTTAAATTGTAATAATTCTTTGTTGCTCATTCAAAACCTTTGTTTAATAGACAATAATTTAGTTAGAAATGGGAGGCTGCATAGCATGATGGAGTGAAAGCTCCTCAGTGGAATTATGAAGCCCATTGGCTGCTTCAGGCCCGAAGCTTCCAGCTTTAAATAAATCTTTCATTTATCCCAAGATACTGTAAACATCTTTCTTACTTTTTGTTTGATATGACATACAAAGTGGTGGGGGAGACTGTACAGGCACCTTGTCTTTGGAGTTGAACAAACCTGAGGGTGAATCTTACCTTTGCCATTTATTGTGAAGTCACCTCTTTGAAACTCCTCTTTGTCATCTGTTTTGAGGATTGAATTATGTAATGAATGTGAGTTATCTTGTCCAGGGATGGCATATTAATAAGTGCCATCTTAAATGTTAAGATGAAATCATCATAACGAGTAGAGCAAAGAGCATTAGTAAAGACATTAGCATATAGTTGATATGTGTCATATGAACATTCTTAAGTGTTCGTAGCTTACACAAAATGGATAAATATGTGTATTCCTTTGTACAACTGATGCTGTCTTTGATACCTTCTCCAGACTGCTGTTTATCCTTCTCTGAACCTGGGTGTCTATTGGTTGGTCCCTAGAGGTAACAGTTCACGTACTCATTCATTCATCAGTCATGCAAGCGCCTAATTTTGTATCTCTTGTACAACCAAATACTATGCGCCGTAGGGTGAATTAAACTTTATGCTAAAATTTTCTAGGATCTGGAACTTGCTTAGTTGAAGATGTTTATGAGTGAATAAATAGATTTTACCTGAGAGAAATGTATGTTCTAATGGGAGAGGTAGCACATTTTTTTTCCCGTCTAAGGGTGGTAGTAGAGTTGCACGTAAAGTGCTTTGTGAGTATCAAGGTGAGAGTGATTGATTCTTCCGTTCTTGCCGCCCCATTGAGGAAACACTTGCACAGAAAATGAGATTTAATGTGGTTGAGTCTCGAAAGGAGATGAAGATGAAATCATCGTAACAATTAGAGCAAAGAGCATTAGTAAAGACCTTGACATATAGTTGATATGTGTCATATGCAAGGAGGGAAGATTTGACTGGGGAGGTAGGCTACTGGAAGGTTGTGTAGGGTGTTTAATGCCATCATAGAATCAGTTCTTAGTTGTAGAAGCCTTGAAAAGCCAGGCAAGATTGATAAATAGGGATGTTTCAGCGCTTTGCATCATTGAACTGTGAATACTTATGGCTTTTCTTCTTTATTTGATCAGCCTTATCTAGGGATCCAGAAGACCCGAAGTAACGTATTTTTGTGTTTGTTATCTGGTCTATTGTTCTCCTCTGTTGGTATGAGCAGTTGAGATTTGACTTTGTAGAGCCATGATACATGCATCTATTCCATTTATGAAGAATCATTGATAAAACAGGAAATGTACTTGAAGACAGTTGCCTCAATTTAATAGTCCATACTTCAGTAGTAGTTGATTTCATGCCACAACAGAGCTAACCAGAACACCAACCCCTGCATTTCTGAGTCATACACTTCATGGTTATCTTTTTGCCTCCACAGAAATAGAAAAGTTTCAAAAAGGAGAAGGCAAGGATGAAGAAAAGTACATCGATGTGGTGATTAATAAGAACATGAAGCTGGGACAGAAAGTGTTAATTCCTGTAAAACAGTTCCCTAAGGTAAGACAGTGAGGTCTACACTGCTGATATTTTAACCTGAATCAAAGGGGAGCAGGTGTTTAATTTGTATCCCATTTGGTGTTTTTAGAGATGTTTCCTCTTAGCATCCCCCTACACACACTTTTAAAGTTAATTAAACACTTAGTAAATTTAGTCATTCTGTCTTTTCCCTTTAACTTTAGTGTGAGTTACAGATTCCTGAAAATCTATCCTTTTGAGTCAAACTAGCAGTGTGTCTTTGGCAAACCTGGTCAGCTTTTTTCCACTTTAGTTTCCGCATTTGTAATATGAGGTTGGATGATTTAAAATTAAATGAGATAATCTGTGTTAAATGCTTGGTACATAAAGGTCCCACAATATCATTGTTTATATTTTATTTAAATCCTATTTTTCGTTTGTTTTTCTTCTGAATGTTCATGTACATGATTCTTGCATGCTGTTGTGTATATTAGGAGTTCATTTCTTTTTATTGATGAATAATAATCTGTTACCTGAGTATATCATTGTTGTTTATCCATATGTCCAGGCACTTTTAATTTTTCGGTTATTATAAATTAAATTGCTGTGAACACTTTTATACACTTTTTTTTTTTTTTTTTTTTTTACCGTTGTATTTTGTTTTAAGTTCCGGGATACATGTGTAGGACTTGCAGGTTTGTTACATAGGGAAATGTGTGCCATGGTGGTTTGCCCCATCCCCTGGGTATTAAGCCCCACATGCATTAGCTGTTATTCCTGTTGCTCTCCCTCCCCCCGCTCCCACGACAGGCCCTAGTGTGTGTTGTTCCCCTCCTTGTGTCCATGTGTTCTCATTGTTTAGCTCCCACTTATAAGTGAGAATATGTGATGTTTGCTTTTCTGTTCCTGTGTTAGTTTTCTGAGGATAATGGCTTCCAGCTCCATCCATGTCCCTGCAAAGGACATGATCTCGTTCCTCTTTAGGGCTGCATAGTATTCCATAGTGTATATGTACCACATTTTCTTTATCCAGCCTGTCATTGATAGGGATTTGAGTTGATTCCATGTCTTTGCTATTTGTACAAGTTGTTTCATAACCAGGTATGTTTGTAACTCTTTATTAAATACCCAGTACTGAAAATTGTTGTGTATTTAGTATTACAAGAAATTATCATACTTTTTTCCAAAACACTTATACTTTGTAACATTTCTACAAACAATGTATGCAGGTTGTGGTTATGGCGGCCTCATACCCCCATCAGTATTTGGTGCTGTCAGCCTTTTTTATTTTAGCTATTTTGATGGTATATTGGTATCTTCCTGTGGTATGAAGTTGCATTTCCCTTATGATTGATGATTTTGTGCAATTTTTCATATCCTTATTGGCTATTCATGTATTTGAATCTTGAAATCTTTGCCAACTTCAAGGAAATGTTAGAGTTCTTTAGAAGTTATAAAGATACTCTTCTGTATTTTCTCTAAAAGTGTTATTGTAGGTTTTACTTTTAGGTCTATGATGTATCTCAAATGCATTTTTGTATATGGTATGAGAGAGAGGCTCAAGTTCATCTTTTTTCCCATATGGTTATCTAGTTTTTCTTGCACTATTTGTTGAAAGATGTTTCTCTCCACTGATTCTTTTGGTGCCTTTGATGAGAAAATCAGGTGAGCATATAAATGGGGGTATATTTCTAAGCTTTCAGTTCACTTCTTTTAATCTATTTATGGATCCTTATGCCAGTACCACACTGTCTTGATTACTATAGGTTTTTACATAGTGAGACATGAGTTTAGGTAATATAATTCCTTCGCCTTTGTCCTTCTTTTTCAGGATTACTTAGATATTTTAGATCCTTTACAATTACATATAAATTTAAGAATTTCTTTGTTAATTACTACAAAGCCATCTGCTGGGATTAGAATTGCAATTGCATTGCATCTGTTGAGCAATTTGTGGGAGATTTGACATCTTAACGATATTGAGTCTTTCATTTAATTTCTATCAACAGCATTTTATACTTTTTAAGGTAGGAGTTTTGTATATCTTTTGTTAAACTTATTCCTAAATATTTTGTGGTTTTTTTGACACTGTTGTAAATTGAGTATTTTTAAATTTCTATTTTCCAGTTTTTTTCTAATATAAAATTTTGTATACTAACCATGACTTCTGCTACCTTGCTAAATTTGAATTCACTTATTCTAGTAAGTTGTTTTGTAGATTTCTTAGGATTTGTCATACACATCATTATATCATTTGCTTAAACAGTTTACTTCTCCCTTTCCAGTTTCTATGCATCTTATTATTTTACTTGCATTATTTTGGCTAATATCTCCAGTATAATGCTGAAGGCAAATGAGCAGAGTAGAAATTATTCCTGTTTCTAGTCAAGGAGGAAAACATGCAGTTATTTTAGCATTAAGAGCAATATTAGTTACAAGGTTTTTTTGGTAGATTTCATTTGTTGGGTAGAGGAAGTTCCCTTCTACTTCAGTTTTACTCAGAGTTCTGATCCTCAGTGGGTGGTAAATTTTTTTCAATGCTTTTTCTGCATCTATTGAAATAAACACAAGGTGTTTCTCTACACTGTTTATATGGTAGATTTTAATGATTGATTTTTAAAACTAAAACCTTCTTTGTATTCTTGGGTTAAACCCTACTTAATAGTGATATATTATCTGTTTCATATAGTGCTGGATTCAGTTGCATCTTATGTTAATGAGTGATACTGACCTGTACCTTTTTTTTTGAGACAGAGTCTTGCTCTGTTGCCCAGGCTGTAGTGCAGTCACGCAATCTTGACTTACTGCAACCTCCGCCTACTCGGTTCAAGTGATTCTCATGCCCCAGTCTCCCGAGTAGCTGGGATTACAGGCATGCACCACCACGCCTGGCTAACATTTGTATTTTTGGTAGAGATGAGGTTTCTCCATGTTGACCAGGCTGGCCTCATGTGATTTGCCTGTCTCTACCTCCCAAAGTGCTGGGATTACAGGCAGGAGCCAGCACTCCCAGCCTGACCTGTACATTTTTTAGAGTAATATTTTTGTCAGATTTTAGTGTTAGTGTTATGCTGGTTTCATAAAATGACTGGATAAGTGTTTCTTTCCATTTTCTCAGAGAACATGTATCAGATTAGTGTTACTTATTCGTAAATATTTGATAGAATTCACCAGTGAAGCAATCTGGGCCTGGAGTTTGATGATGAATTCAGTATCTTTGATATGACACTAGACAGATTTCCTATGACATCTTTTGTGAAAAATTTGTTTTTAAAAGGACTTGTACATTTTATCATAATATTTCAGTTACTACTTCAATCATTTTTCTGATCCTTTCTCCTCTCATTCTTTTGAGATTTCTGTTACGCATATGTTCAGCCTTTTGTCACTCTCACAAAGGTTTCTGTGGCTCTGTTTTATTTTTTCCCTGTCCTTCAGATTTTACAACTTTTACTGCTGTATCTTAAATTCATGATTCATTTCTATCTTCATTTTGCTGTTAACCCACCAAGTAATTTTTTTTATATCAGGAATTGTGATCATCTGTTTCAGAATTTATGTTGGAATCATATACACATGTATGTGTGTAAAAATATTTTTTTCTCTGTTGGAATTTTATATTTTTTAATTCATTGCAAGTATTATTTTCCTCTGTCACTGAGTATGGTTAAATAGGTCCTTGAACATCTCTGTCTACTAATTTCTGAGTCTTCTAAATCTTGGCTTTCTTAGATTTATTTTGCACTGGGAGTCTTTTATCTTGATGAAGAGTCATATTGCTTTAGTCCTCTGCATCTTGAGTAATTTTGGATTGTATGCTGGCTATTGTGAATGTACATTGTAGAAACCTTGGATTCTGTTTCTTTCTTTGGAAGAATGTTGATATTTTTGTTTTAGCAGCTAATTAACTTGGTTGGATTTAGGGTATAAACTGTGTGTCTATTGGGCAGGAGTTCAAGTCTCAGTTCATTTCTTTCCTTAGTTTGCCTTTTTGTGTTTAATTTCTGTCATATGATTCAGGGGCCAGCCAGAGATTTTGGAAGATTTTATACATAGTATTTGGTGATCTGCAACTCTGACTGTCTTTTCTAGTATTCCTCCCTCACTTTTCAGCGCTATAGTTTTCTCAATGTCTGCCACTAAGGCCAAAAGCTCTAAAATGAGTAAATTCACCCCAGGGTATTTCCTTTGCTGAAGTCATAGCTTTCTTTCAGAATCCGCCTGTTTTCGATCAGTCTTCAGCGCTTCAGATAGTTAACTTTTATATTTTGCTGTGAGTTTAGGAGTTTACAGTTGATATTTATAGGTGGGCAGCCTGTTAGGAATGTACTCAGCCATACCTGCAGAACTCAGGGGAATATATGTGTCTTGTAAACAGAAAATTACATTATGAACATTTCATAGACAGGCTCATTACTCAAACATGACTGGTGGAAATCTTTGTATATTGATTCTTTATGCTCCATATGGCCTGTATACTTAATATGCAATAGATACAAAGATGACCAGATTATAGACCCTGTCTTTAAGTAGTTCGTAGTCTAGTTGATGATGATTAACCTGAAACTAATACTTTGTTGTCTCCAAGTTTGTAAATGAAATAAAATAAAGTGCAGTCATGTGCTGCATAGTGATTTCAGTCAATGATGGACTGCATATATGATGGTGGTCCCATAAGATTATAGTACTGTATTTTTGCTGTATCTTTTCATTGTTTAGAAATACAAATATTTACCATTGTGTGACAGTTGCTTATAGTACTTAGTACAGTAGCGTGAGGAACAGGTTTGTAGCATAGGAATAATATGCTATATCATATAGCCTAGGTATACAGTAAGATATGCCATCTAGGTTTGTGTAAGTGTGCTCTTTGATGTTTGCACAATGAGGAAATCATCTGACAATGCATTTCTCAGAAAGTGTTCACATCATTATTGACTCATAACATCAATAAAGTATATGAAATAAAATCTCAAATATTGTTTTTCACTGTCGGCTTTGAGGTAATGAAAGAAAAATTATAATTTCTGTGTTTGAGATTA